ACTAAAAAAAAAAAAAAAAAAAAAAAAGAATAATACAAAGTGACATTTCAGGCAGCTTTCTGAAAGTAAACCATTAGCCTATGACTACACAGTGAGACAAACTGGAACATGTCATAATGAAGGCTTTCGCATTTGTAGTGGTGCACTTTTTTGCTCTTACCCCGGGACCTCTAGCCGTTTTGTAATGTTATATAAAGGAGTTACAGCACTTTGTCCAGCACTGAAGCAGGCAGGAAATTAATCAGCCAAGAGAAAATCAGAAGCGTGTTCACGTGTTTCAATGTTTTTCACGTCAAAGCTCAAAACTTGCAAATAAATCATTGAAAATATGTTTCTCTGTTATTTTCAGGACTTTATGTAGTTAATGGATAATCAGAGTGAAAGAGGGCTTTCTATCAGTCATCAGTGATACATTCTGTCACACAGTCAGATTTTCAGCATTTGTTCTGCTGCTGCTAGATGATAAAGGAAGTTTTCTGTTGCTGGTGGAAATCGTTTTTGCTTTAGTGCCTCCAAATTAAGGACTCTCTTCTCTCCATCAGCCGAAACTTCTGAAAACGGTGCTAGGTTGGTAAAGATTTCTCTTGTTTTTAGAGCAATATCCTTTAATGGAACAGGAAAATATGCAACATGTTAGTATGCAAAACTTGAGTATTTAGTGTCTAGAATTCTTCCTGCTATTTTATCAGACTGTTTATAAATTATGAAAAATGAGGTCGGTGTGAATAAGCTCATGCCTGTAATCCCAGCACTTTGGGAGGCTGTGGCGGGAGGACGGCTTGAGCCAGGAGTTAGAGGCTGCGGTGAGCTCTGATCATGCCACTGCACTCCAGCCTGGGCAACCCTGTCTCAAAAACAAGCCACTAAGATATAACGCGTGTTTTCTGTTGTTTTTGAGACAGGGTCTTTCTTTGTCACCCAGGTTGGAGTGCAGTGGTGCAATCATGGCTCACTGCAGCCTTGACCTCCCAGGCTCAAGTGATCCACCCACCTCAGCCTCCCGAGTAGCTGGAACTACAGACGCACGCCACCACATCCAGCTAATTTTTAAATATTTTTTGTACAGATAGGGTTCCACCATGTTGCCCAGGCTGGTCTCAAACTCCTGGGCTCAAGTGATCTCCCCAACCTCGGCCTCCCAAACTGCTGGGATCATAGATATCTGAGCCATTGTGCCTAGCCTGATAATTCTTTTTAAAGAAAAATATTAGGAAAAATGAAACAAAACAACTTAGAAAAATTAATGTCATAGATTTTTTTTTCTTTATTTTTATTTTTTAAAGATGGGGTTTCACCATGACGGCCAGGCTGGTCTTGAACTCCTGACCTCAGGTGATCCACCCACCTCAGCCTCCCAAAGTGCCTAGGATTACAGGCGTGAGCCACCGTGCCCAGCTTCTTTTTTTTTAAAGATGGGGTTTCACCATGTTGGTCAGGCTGGTCTTGAACTCCCGACCTCAGGTGATCCACCCACCTTGGCCTCCAAAGTGCTTGGATTACAGGTGTGAGCCACCGCGCCCGGCCAATGTCATAGATTTTTAAAAATCATTTTAGCCATTTCATGAGTGTATAATTCAGTGGCATTAAGTACATTTGCAGTGCTGCACAGCCATCACCCCTCTTCCCACACTTTCACCAGCCCAAGCAGAAACTCAGAATCCATTAAACAAGAACCCAATTTCCTCTCGCTTAGCCTCTGGTAACCTCTATTCTACTTTCTACCTCTGTGAATTTGTCTGCTCTGGACAGTTTGTATAAGTGGAATCATACTTTTACCCTTTAGTGTCTGGCTTATTTCATTAGCATGTTTTCAAGGTTCATCCATGTTGCAGCCTTTATCAGAATTCTATTCCTTTTTTTTCCCCACCAACAAAGCCACATTCAAAACATTCCATTCCTTTTTAAGGCTGATATTCCATCGTATAGAAAGACTACATTTTGCTTACCCATTCACGTGAAGGACACTGGGCTGCTTCTACCTTTTGGCTACTGTGAGCAACACTATTATGGATATTTCCATACAAGTACAGTCATGCACCACATAATGAGGTTTTGGTCAACCAGGGACCAGATATACAATGGTAGACCCAAAAGATGATAATACTGTGTTTTTTTTTTTTTGAGACGAAGTTTCACTCTTATTGCCCAGGCTGGAGTGCAATTGTGCAACTTTGGGTCACTGCAACCTCTGCCTCCCAAATTCAAGCGATTCTCCTGCCTCAGCCTCCCAAGTAGCTGCGATTATAGGCGCCCACCACCACGCCTGGCTAATTTTGTATTTTTAGGAGAGAGGGTTTCGCCATGTTGGCCAGGGTGGTCTTGAACTCCTGACCTCAGGTGATCGACCCACCTCGGCCTCGCAAAGTGCCGGGATTACAGGCATGAGCCACCAAGCCTAGCCAAGTCCCTGCTTTCAATTATTTTGGGTATATGCCCAGAAACAGCATTGCTAAATTATATGGTAACTCAATGTTTAACTTGTTGAGAAATGCTGCTATTGTTTTTTGAAGAAATCTCTTCCCAAAAGTCCTCTTCTGCCTGGGATAAGTAACCCGGCACCTGCCACACAGGCTTTATTCCTTTTGGGTAGCTGAGCACTCACTAAAGCGCTCATTCAAATCATGTCTTCTGGCCGGGCACAGTGGCTCACACCTGTAATGCCAGAACTTTGGGAGGCTGGGGCGAGTGGAGCACTTGAGGTCAGGAGTTCAAGACCAGCCTGGCCAACATAGTGAAACCTCATCTCTACTAAAAATACAAGATTAGCCAGGTATGGTGGCAGGCACCTGTAATCCCAGCTACTTGGGAGGCTGAGGCAGGAGAATCGTTTGAACCTGGGAGGTGGAGGTTGCAGTGAGCCAAGATCACACCACTGCACTCCAGCCTGGGCATCACAGTGCAAAAAAAAAAGAAAGAAAAAAAATCAGGTCTTCCTTGTTGGCTGACATCAGTAATTCATTCATATATTTTTGAACCCTTACAACATTCCCTGCACTTTCACTTGCCTTCCCCAAGGTCTCTTACGTTATACTAAGTCATCTAGGTAGCACTTTTAGTCTGTGAACAACACAGTAATGCAGAACTCACATTTACATATTTTGCTGATATTTTAACAATATGTCTTTTCTCTAATGCTGGGGGATAGGAGGGCAATGAGGATTCACATGGTAGGAAAGAGGTGGCCCCAGAGTCTCTAGTGTTCAGGTCCTTAGAGCAAGATCGGTCCACTCTTCCTGCTCACAGCTGGCCAGGCCACCAGCACTGCAGAGAAATGTCCCCTCTCATCTTTCCACTGTCACATCACCTCTTCAGAGAGCTGTCCTACCATCCCTCCAAAATTCACCTCCTCAACCCCTTGTTTCTGTCACAGTGTTTATCATGGGTTGTAATTATCTTGTCCATTATTATTTTCCTGTGCACAGGAAATAAGTACAGGCTCCATGAGGGCAGGGATTTGCTCACCACTGCATCCCCACTGCCAGTGCAATGAGCCTGACAAACAGAGCTCAAGAAACACTGAGTAGGGCAGCCCGAGCCCTCGCGGGGCCCATGGCCACCCTAAAAAACAAACACTGAGTAAATGAGAATGGATAGTGAAGAAGCCATGAGGGGTTGGGCCGAATGAGGACAGCATGCGTATCAGGGGTGCCCCAGGTAGGACAGGTACAGACGGGAGACAGTCCTTCCAGGCCCTCCAGCCCCAGGTTATAAGTCAGGCATCTAGAGAAGGCAGGGCCTGGGAGAGGCTACGCTGGAAGTGTAGCCTTCAGGAGAGGAGCAAGGAGCTGGGAACAGGCCAAATGCAAGGAGACTGGGCAGGCTGCCGGCCACCATGTGGAAAGCACAAGAAATAAAACCCATTTGCCATCCCAGTTTGGCAAGGGCAGAGCAGGTGCCCACTGGTCCACGTGAACACTGGCCAGCATGCCAGGTAGACCCCAGCATGGAGCTAGCTCTGCAGCGTGTGGAACAGTCACTAAGTGGGACAGGAGTCTGACTGCGTGATTTCTGTTGTCCTGGGGACAAGACAGCAAAGCCAAATTGAGTTCCCCATGCTCAGCAACAACCTCCCCTTTATAATTTGTTCCTTCAGGGAAATTCTCCCAGGAAGAAAGAGTGCACTGGCTGGGCCAGAAGAGCCTTCCAGACCACTTAGTAGTTACATTTCTCATTGCCAGCGGTCGGTGTCAGCACCTGCCCCCATGCATACCTGCTCTCGAGCCCGGTAACTAACTACATCAGGCCAGGCTGTACCTGCTTGTCCATCATCGATGCGGCCGTCTGCAAACCCTCCTCTGAGCACCTGCCCGCTGGCCTCTCCCACAGCCCCCACTTTGCTGATGTGCACAGCTCTGTCGCACACCACCCAGCAACACCGGGTCAGGACTTTCAATAGATCAGAAGGTGAGGGAGTTACCTGTATAACCTGGCTGTCTGATTTTTCTGGATCTTCTGCAGACTGAACAATTAGCTGACCCATTTCTTTGTGAAGTTTGCCCATTGCCATGGCCTCTGGTGAGATTAAGAAGAAGATGTATGAATATTTAGAAACTGACACAATAAAAACTAATCATGCCATCTCTCCAAAAATTTGAAAGACCACACTGAGGGAATTTTCAAAAAGCAGCTGACAACCTCCCACGTGTCCATTTTATCACTAAACACAAATCCAACAGCATGCTGGGAGGAAGGCATAGTAAAATCATGATTTATACTTCTAGGCCAACATAAAAACACATTACATCAAACCAGATTTCCCCTTCACATCCACTTGGCCAGAATTTTTATTCTTCTTCCCAGACAAAGCATAATGAACAATTCTGACTATAAGTAAGTTGTGACTATAAGCCAAAAGCCTGACCTTCTAGTCCTGGTCTTTACAGTTAAGAAATTTATCTTTTTGGTGGGAATGTTGTGAAAGAAGAGTTTCCTGTCAGTTCTGCAGAAGCCAGCTGGGCATTCAGTGTGTTTAGGTTCTTAGAAGAGAGCAAAGGAAAGCCCCTAAGTTAGCTTGGTTACACACATTGCTACCGTCTGCACTGAGGAGGCTAACAGAAACTTGTCTGTCACTTCAAGAGACAAACTCCATTCCAATGGTGCTGAGTAGGATGAGCCCATTTTATAGACACAGAGCAACACAGGGCGGCAGGGAGAGGGCCACCCTTTCTGGTCCTAACGTTTCATCTGCCTAGCGGCCCTGGCCACCGCCATTTTTCTATCACTTTCGCTTTGCAAAAGGCAGTTATTTCCTAAAGATCTGACCCCATAGTTTGAATTTTTCACCATAAGCATGCATTATGTTTGCAATTTTAAAATGAATTAAAGGAAAACCAGTTACGGTTCTATTAATTTGAAGTTGTTCAATAAAACTTCACACAAGCAAATCTATCTAACAATTCCCAATGAGTCAGCATTCAGCTGCCCCCACTTTTGGGAGAAAGAAAAATGACAAAACAAAGCTGTTATCAGTAATCCATATAAAACCACTTCCTGAGTAGTGCCCTGGGCTGAACACTCATTTAAGCCAAGCTTTTCTAGTTTATATAGCTGTAATTTGGGACAATTTAAAGGGTCTAAGAGTGTCACTCTAACATTAGCACACCCTTTCCTGACCGTCAGCTCTAAGAACACTTTCATTCCCTTGTGCTACTGAGACATGCTTCAAAAAAGATTTTCTGGGAGGCTAAGGCAGGAAAATCGCTTGAACCCAGAAGGCAGAGGCTGCAGTGATGACACCACTGCACACCAGCCTGGGCGACTGAGCAAGATTTCGACTCAAAAAAAAAAAAAAAAAAAGATTTTCCATACTGGAGTCACATTTATACCCTGTGTAGTGACAAAAGTCTACATATTCTTTGATATTCCTCTCTTCAAGAGGTAGAGACTTATTGCTCTCCCCTTAAGTGTTGACTAAACTTGGTGATTTGCTTCTAACAAATAGCACATGGAGGAAGTAGTGGTGTGTGACTACCAAGACAAGGCTATAAAAGGCACTGTGGCTTCCTTCTCTCTCTCGGATCACTCACTCTTGAAGGAGCCAGCTATCATACAGTAAGAACGCTCAAGCAGCCCTATAGAGAGGCCCATGCCAGGAGGAACTGAGGCCTCCTGCCAACAGCCATGCAAGGTGAAACTGGATGTTCTAGCCCCAGTTGAGCCTTCGGATGACTGTAGCTCTGGGATATCTTGACTGAAACTTCCTAAGCCAGAACTACCTCTAGATAAGAAATTGCTGATCCACCAAAACTGTGAGATAAATATTTGTTGTTTTAGGATATGATGGCTCAAGCCTGTAATCCCAGCACTCTGAGAGCTGAGGCCGGTGGATCACTTGAAGTTAGGAGTTCGAGATCAGCCTGCCGACATGGTGAAACTCTGTCTCAACTAACATACAAAAACTAGGTCAGGTGCAGTGGTTCACATCTGTAATCCCAGCACTTTGGGAGGCTGAGGTGGCTGGGTCACCTGAGGTCAGGAGTTCAAGACCAGCCTGACCAACATGGTGGAACCCCATCTCTACTAAAAATACAAAATTAGCTAGGCACGGTGGCGGACACCTCTAATTCTGGCTACTCGGAGAGGCTGAGGCAGGAGAATTGTTTGAACCTGGGAGGCAGAGGTTGCAGTGAGCCAAGATCACACCATTGCACTCTAGTCTGGGCAACAGAGTAAGACTCCGTCTCAAAACAAACAAGTAAACAAACAAACAAAAACAAAAATTAGCCGGGCATGGTGGTCCATGTCTGTAATCCCAACTATTTGAGAGGTTGAGCCAGGAGAATCACCTGAACCCTGGGAGGCATAGGCTATAGTGAGCCAAAATCATGCCACTGCACTCCAGCCTAGGTGACGGAGCAAGACTGCACCTCAAAAAAAAAAAAAAAAAAGAGGGCCGGGCGCAGTGACTCAAGCCTGTAATCCCAGCACTGTGGGAGGCCGAGGCGGGTGGATCACGAGGTCAAGAGATCGAAACCATCCTGGTCAACAGGGTGAAACCCCATCTCTACTAAAAATACAAAAAATTAGCTGGGCATGGTGGCGCGTGCCTGAAATCCCAGCAACTCAGGAGGCTGGGGCAGGAGAATTGCCTGAACCCGGGAGGCGGAGGTTGCGGTGAGCCGAGATCGCGCCATTGCACTCCAG